TCCTTAACAGCAACCCAGTGAATTTGCCGAAGGAGGGCAAGTACACCAGCCATGTCATCGGAAATCTCAAGGATTTCCGGCCTTTAGCTAAATCACTTAGCTCTTTCGGGGTCCCATTTCTGTAGGGCATAAATAAGCCTCTGTTGTAAGCGACAAGAAGTGCACGGTATCAGGTCCCAAGAGGCATCTTGAGCTAAAAGCAGCTAGAGCGTAGGTTGATGGTTCCAGGTTCGGGGTTTGTGACATGTTGGAGTTCACGTCAAAGGGCTAAGGCTTTAGGAGTTAGGAATGTTAGAGCATGTGGGAATTTGCTAAAAGATATTATGGACGCCCACATATCCCTAAGGTCTCCACATGCTTCCTTCTTGAGAAACCCCCAAAGTGGACCTCGCAGCATGCCTTCATTACGGAAGATCCCTTGTTTGTGCGCAGCTCCCCGAAGATCCCGTAGGGCACCACAGCACTTTGATGCTGGATTTAGCCAAGAACCCAAACTCTCCAATCTTGAGCCCCCCAAATGCCCTGAACCGTAACCTCAAACCCATATACCCCTATGTACCCCTATATAAGCCTACATAACCCTATATAGTAGTTTCCATTTTCTTTTCCATTATCCCAATATGACTAAACCCAAATTCCATATGGAAATCAAGGCTTTCAGCTCCAACGAGTTGGCATTCCTGTCCATGCACCTGGCTCATAGTTGATGTACTTGAAGGTATAGGATTTAGGGTGTGTAAACAGAACACTAGGTCACCGTTCGACATACTTTCGGTTGTCAGTATTCTACTCAAGCCTAGGGGGACATTCGTGCGGTTATAGTCACGCAGACGATTTTTGGATATGTGGAGGGGTCCAGAACGGTTCAGTGACAGAGGCTTTAGATGTCAACTGCTAGATTCTGTTTTCTGGATGTTTGTTTTCTGGATGTTTGGAATTTGGCACGACCCTTGCCCGAGCCTTGCGCAGGGTAGAATAGAAGACCAGCTCATCGGTTGAAATGTCCGGGTGTAAAAAAAAAAAAAACAGGCGCCGTCCAGTGTTTACTCTAAAACCCTAAACGTTACGCCCTAAACCAGCCACACCATGATATAGAACCGGAGCAAGGAAACTCATTCCCACTTTGGGTTTTGCAACATGGGAACTGTCCTTGTAAAGGAAGGCTACATGGAGTTCCAGCAATATCCTCTTATTTTCTGAAATTCCTTCCAACCCTTATGTAAGTCCAGTTTCCAGGTCATTCCCCTGTTCTTCTTCCATTTGATCCTCCCTTATTACCCAAATCCTCTTATCGGAATGCATTATGTTGGAAGTCAGCTCGCTAAGCCCTCTATATCCCCCATACATCCCCTGTATAGCCTAAATCCCGAATCCTATAGCCCCTGTATCCTATATCCAGATTCCTTTCGGGGAGTGTACTCAGGCTCTTCTTTGGTGTCGGCCTTTACGGCAACCTCCAGTTCGACTACTATGACCCCCAGTGGGCCAAGGTGGGTGTTTTGAAATTCGGAGGTTTAGGGTTTAGGGGTTTGGGCTTGGGGTTGGGGTCTTTGGGTTTTGGGTGGGGATTCATGTCTTTGAGCCTCTGTGAGGTTTTCGTGTATAGAAAAAAGCAAGGTTATGCACGTAACGCAAACTTGGTGCTTCAACATTGGGGCTGCCGGGGTTTTAGCAGTAGGGGAATGGGATTCATTCCATTTCCCAGGTCGACGCAGGAGGCTTCTTCAACGTATCCTACATCGTGGAGTCCTTCTTGCTTCCCATCTCCTTCTTCATGCATATTGCCTGCTACATCCAGAGGCAGAATGGCAAGTAAGGGCATCCCTTACTTTGGTCACCTGCATTTAGAGCACCAGCTACGGTTGGGCTGCCGACAGGTCCTTTGCACGGACGACGTGCCGAGAAAAGGAGCCGACAAAAAGCGCGCTAGAGCTCGGCTTTATAGGGACTATTGGATTATATAGGGGTTATATAGGGGATAATTGGGGATAATGGAAGATAGAGTGGACACCACTCTTCAGGGTTTTAAGGTTTAGGGTGTCTTTTCTGTGCACCGACGCATTCCTGTACTTTGATGTGATGCACGGCATTTTTCCCGGAATCTCACTTCTTGGAGTTTCTCAAGTAGGTGATTTGTGGAAGGATCCTTATGGATATCCATGGGGTCCTAGGGAGCTCTGTATATGCCGCATGTATAGCTGGAGTGGAGTGAGGGTGCCGAGGCGTTTGCAGAGGCTTCTGCCAGTGAGCTCGTCTTGCAACAGTTGTCGGATAGAGCCTTCTTAGAATGACGCGTCCCCTTCCCTTGAAAGGTCCCTACGATGAGGCCTACAATGATGACAATATTTAGCAAGTGACCGAAATACTTAAACTCCCTACAAACGATCAGGATGCAGTTCAGAAGGCTTCTGCATCTCAAGTCATCAAAACACGTAACCGTGCCTACTACGTGCGAAGCTTTCATTTTGAGGTTTTCCGCGCCGTTGCATGAGGGCTTCTGCCTCCATCTGCAAGATTGTAAACAGATGCCTTAAGGGGAATAGAATATAAGGGCTATATAGGGATAATGGAAAATTCAATGGAAACTATTATAATATTGAGGGGTACCCTTAGGATGAGCTGGGCCACTCTTGATCCTTCAGCGATAGCTCTGCGCCCGAGAAGGCGAAGTGCTTTCTCTTCTGGTTTGAAATCCAAATTAAAAGCATGTGGAATTTGATAACACGAAGAAACAACCGATTAAATTGAATCAAGATAGTAATAAAACCAATCAAAGTCAAAGTAAAAGCCGTTAAAAGCAATTAAGATCTAATGAGCATCTTCATCAAACCAATCTAAAAGCAATCCAGCAACACAATCAAACCCATGAAATTATTCAAAATCGAATTACAGTGTAATATCGACCAAAATTATTCAACGTATACAAAGCGGCTTAAAATCGCAATAAACCTAGCTAAGATCGCATTCAGATTCTATTTAGATTCCTCTATAGAAACGGTTCAAAAACCATCTAAGTCTAGGAAATCAAGGATATCCCTAATCCTACAGACTGGTGCTAGGGACCCCCCTAATTCAGAGGATCCGTGCCGTGATCAAATTTTGTCTTGGCCCTGTTAAATGTAGTTTTAGGGGGGGATTTCCGGACTTGGAATTCTGGGGAACCCGTATTTTTGTATTTTTGTATTAAGGTGGGATCTGTTATCATCAGGGGAAATGATTATGAAGTAGACCCTCTATCTGTAAGGTCTCCCGCTGAGGAATGTTTAGTGTTAGGGTTTGGGGGGGGGGGGCGTTTTACTAGGGGTCAATAGCATGTACATGTCAGAAACGTGCAACTGCACTTTCAAACCCCGACTCCTGTTATCGGCGTTAGTTGCGCGTTTTTACAATCATTTGCGTGTTAGCAGCATTCCGTCATTACCCATCATGTAGAAATACGTTGACAGGCCAGCCCCCACATCACACCCCCCAAATTCCCCAAAGTTTGAAGCAAACTCCTCCTAAACCCTACAAGCGAAGCGAACTGAAATGTCCCGGTCTCAACTTGCCTCTGGTTAGGAAGGAATGAAGGAAGGGACACTCATAGTCCCTATACCATCCCCAATAATGTAGCACGTTCCATTCTCTTTTTCACTCCTGCATTCCCTGCAAGCCAGAGGTAAGCAAATCCTGAAACCGAGCCCCCCCAAAACATATACTTATTCCTTCATTTTCCATATTCTTTTACATGTCTCCATTCTGGGGGGAATTATCCTGAAAACCTAAACCCCAAATAGTAGTCTCAATTTTCTTTCCATTATCCATTTTTAGCCCTTTTTGATTCCCGTATAACCTTTTAGGCGGACTCAGTAGAGTCAGTAGAGGTAAGCCAAGCCAAGGCAGACTGATGCCGCCTTGCGCAGCTCCTGTGCATGTGCTGTGAGTTGAACTGGCCGCCTGGCTGCTCTTGGGATTAGGGTTTTTTAGCTATGGAGCTAGGGTTCTATAGGGACTAGATAGGGGTTATGTAGCATTATTCAGGATGTGTCGGGTTCTAGGTGACACTATACTTCCAACAATGAGGCTCAGAGGAGAAGTACTTGGGCGTTTAGGTTTTGAGTCTAGGGTTTGTTGGCTTCAGAGTGGCGGGTTTGAGCGATTTGGCCTGTAGGGGTGTCAAGTCAAGTGCAGGAAACAGGTTACTACGGAGGTCTTGTTTTTTTTCCTAGACGTTTTGCTAGCTTTTTGGACCAGTGCGGGTTTCAGTTCGGCAGGGGTGTGACACAAGGATTGCAGTTTTGAGGGTTTAGGGGGTTTAGGGTTTAGGGTTCCCTAAGCCCTAAACCCCCTTTCACTTCCGCCTTAACGGCATTCTATCAGGAATGTTTGTGAGGACGGGGGGGGTTGGGCGGTTATCTCAGGGGGGGGGAGCATTAACATGAGAGATCCCTCTGAGAACTGCGCAATGCGGACTATGCCTTGAGAGCTTGAGACTTGATGTTAGCCTTTTGTGCAGACTGGCAGGACAACAGTACTAAATCAAGGAGCTGACCCCTTTGTAGTTGACGCGGTTTAGGGTTTATATATGGTTCAGGGTTTAGGGTTCGGGGTTTACGGTGTATGGTTTAGGGTGCAGGGTTGAAGGTTAAGCTCAAGAACGAGCCACGATGACGTCAACATGTCATGCGCACTAAGGACGCCTCTCAACTTACCAGATTCAGCCAGTGACCTGAAATCCCAGCATCTGGTATGTCCCCTAAGGATCTGCCTGAGATACCGTCAAAGAACCTAATCCCCAAAAAGGGGAAGCACGACAAAGCCCAGCATTCCCCAAAAGCTGAGGCCTACTGCTTTGCAGGTGTGTGATCCGTAGACTCACTCATGCTCAGTTGGGTAGGGACATGGGTTTATAGGGACAATTGCAGGATTGTTCTCGGGGGTTTATACAAGGATTTTTCCCTATTCCCAACTAAGCATGTGTAAGTAGAGTGGGGCAAGAGCTCAGAGCTTGCGGGGCCGGACTCCTTTGCTTCACTGTTCCGTCAAACATCCTGACGAAAGCTATGTGGGTCAACCTTTGAACTCCTAATCCCCCTCTCCCAGATATTAAAACCACCCGAGGTGGATAAATATTACGGGGACGGGATTACAAGTAGAGACCGGTGTAAGGACCCCCCCCCGGCCGAAAAGGGACCCTTGTTTTTCTGGAAACCTTCCACGGAGGTCTATCAAGTTTTTTAAGTTTTTGGGTTCCTGTAAGAGGGACCATTCTGCGTTGGACTAGAAACAGTATCTTCTTGCCTTGTAGTTTTGAGTCCCTTTTTACTTGAGGCTTCGGGACCGTATATCGAAATGTTTGGGAGTTTTGAAAATACTTAGTAGAATCCCTATTGGGGGCACCGGAATCCCTTTCTAATCCCCATGTATGCTTGGGGTACCCAAAAAAAGAAAATCACAGCTGACTCATGCAAAAATTGCATACCATGGGCAGTCTCGGATTCAGAAGGGAGATTAGGGTTTAGGCATGTCTTCCTTGAGTCGAAACGCCTAAACCTTGTGGATATTGAGAGCTTTGCTATTTTCTGAGGGCGGAATCGTATTTTGCTTCCAGCCAGACTTTGATTTGCATTTCTATGTTGAGGGCTTCTCCAGGTTTCGCAAGTTCGGAAGAAAATGGGGAGTGCTCCTTCTTGAGCAGAATTATTGAATGAAGTCCGTTTCAGACACAAATACTTGGAGACCCATGACAGGTTCTGAACACACTGAATCGCAGGATTGAGATTTCAGGTTTTCAGGGCCGTTGCTATGAACATGGTATTCTACGCAACTCTAGAGGCAGCTGTGAAACCACGAATGTTCCCTGCTAAGGTTTATTCCCCCACGCACTAATCAAAGTGTCAGCTACTGCTTCGGCTTAATGCATAGGACGTGCGTGATCTCATTCGGACAGTTTTGCCGGAAGCTCTTGCCACATGGTCATGGAAACCTAGGAAACCTAGGCTGACGCGCGCCCCAACCGAATGAGGCCTGCAGAGGGCCTTTCCGGTGGAGACTGTAAAAGATGATGGGACCCTGCTGGCCTTAAACTCCCAACCACAGTTCAAATCTGAACGCGCGTAGTTCCTTCAAAGGTGGGTGGGTGAGCGTCGGTTCCTGCATTAGTTGGATGTGGCATCGGACAATGCTGTCTCACACGGAGTTCTTGCGCTGCCCTAGGGTGAGATTTTAGGGTGATGGGTTTGGACTCTAGGGTTCAGGGCTTAGGGCCGGCTTAGGGTCAAAGGTTTGACATCTAGGCTTTCCGTATCAGAGCATCCGCCTGCACTTTAAGCGCATCTTGTGCAGAGCTACCGCTCTTTCCAATAGAGATGGGGCACAGAGCCTAGCTATACTTCGGCCGTGTAAGGTCCTAAGCATGGGCATCTACCGCCTTCCTGGATCCTATAGGGCTCCCATTCAACTGATAGGCCACTTAAGGACCCCATGGCTCAGGCAGGAATCTGCATCTCTCAGGACACTTTTGGGTCGACAGGATCGTTCTATGTAACTCGTAAATCTGCTCACGAAAGCCTGATGTAAGTCCTGTTCAGCGTTGCGGGAGGTATTGGATTGGATGGCCGTGTATCGAAGCATTTACTTCGGAGGCGCCCCAAGCAACAAGGTCGTCTCTGAGATTTTGAATTCCTGCAAGGACAGTTGGCCATTGGATCTTGATCGGTTTGCTCGTATACCCGCCAGGTGCGGTAGTCTTTAACATCGGCACTGCCAAAATTGGATCCATTGTTTTATGAAATGCCGACTTCC